TGCCAAAGAAATCGAGGAGGCCCTCCTCACCCTACAGGTACCGGTCGCTGTCATCCGCGCAAACTCTAAATGGTCAAAGTTTCTCCTCCATGGAATTCCCACAACGGTCGGGGAGGGCATCGAGGCGGGACAATTGGTAGCATCAGAAATCAGAAGCAACTATGGAGAGAACTTCCAACTTGCACAGATTCCCCGCTGGATCTCCAGAGCAGAGACTCGAATGGAGAAAACCCACTCATCAATGGTCATTGCGCTCCCAGGACAAATTACAATGGAAACACTAGGGGTTAAATTCCTATCTCTCTTCAACCGAAGCTGCCATATCGAGGCCTTCCTTCCAACCTTCCCGGATACTCAGTGTGCAAAGTGCCTCGAGTACGGCCACCGCCAAGAGAAATGTAAAAACAATGGGAAATGCGGCCACTGCGCCGGAGATCATCTTACCAGTTTCCACCCATGCAATCAATGCCAGGGAGGACATAGATGCACCCACACTCCAATCAGATGTCTGAACTGTAAAGGAGCTCATAAGGCCTCCGACCCAGCATGCCCCGAGAGAGCCAAGCGCCGATTCCTCAATAAAGGGAAGGAAAATGCCCCACCCACTCAAGACCCACCGGCCGCACCCGTCCAAGAGCTGCTTCCAATAGTTCAAGTACCAGCCACCGCCCCAGTCGGAGCCACACCCGTTCCCGAAGATGACCAACCCATGACAAATAATGCTTAGGCCTCGAACCACCGCGCTCGCACACCAACTCAATTGTGCACGGAGCGAACTTATTACCAAGGCGGCGGTAGAAGAAGCGGAAACAGACTCTAGTATTTATTTCCTATTATTACAAGAACCATGGACCTCAGCAGAGGGATACCCACCAGAATCAAATCTCTTTTATATTTTTACGGCCAGCAACACCAATACAAAATGTGCAACATACGTCCGCAAACATGCCAATCTCAAACCAAAACACCACTACACACACGATAATTTCATAGTATCGGTTACGGTAGAAATTCAAACCAAAAAAACCCAAATCCTAAACATATACTCCCCAGGCCGAAGTGGCCCCTTCGCCCAAATAGCAAGTACAATCCAAACCCTTGATAACTGTCTAGTAATGGGAGACTTCAACTGCCACCATCAGATGTGGTACGGAGTAAATTCACATGAGTACAGAAACAACATCCGAGCAGACCGGGTCAACGGCGCACGGTTAAAACGATGGATAACCCGAGAGAAATTGACCCTCCTGAACGAACCAGGCGTCTTTACGCACTTCCCCAGAGACAGAGGGAAAAGGCCCACAACCATCGACCTTGCATTTGTAAAAGGCCCAATACTCGACCACAACCTACGATGGAGTACTGAACCCTACGGAGCGGGCTCAGACCACGGAAGAACCTCCGTCCACTTACACCTGGAAAAACCACCTTTTGTACCAAGACGAATGTGGCGACAAACAGACTGGAAGCTATTGGAGAACCACATGTCAAACATCTCCATCCCTGCAGAGGCATGGGAAACCAAGGAACATACGGAACAAACTGTCGATTTCTTCCTAGAACTGGTTAGGTCAACAGTCAGCATAGTAACACCACTCTCGAAGGAGGGGGTAAGAGCCAACTCCTGGTGGTCAGATGAGATGAAACAGATGAAGGCAAGGGTAAATGCAGCAGAAAGGAAGGCGAGAAATACAAGGAAATCTAATCACGTGGAGGAACACCGGAAGGCTTGCAGAGAATGGACAGCCATGATCCGGAAAGCAAAAGCGGACCAGCGGGAAAAGACGATGAACGAGGCGAAAGGTAGTGAAGTCTGGAGAATCCTAAGCGCAGGAAAGAGACGAGACACAATCATACCAACCATACAAGGTGAAGAAACGTTTGCGGGGAAGTGTCAAGCTCTAAGAGCCCAACTCTTCCCCTCGAAACGGACGTCCCCCGACCATCCCCCCTTGAACATTAGACCCCCCTCTTTTGACCTCAGCAACACCTTCGACATAGTCACCCCCGAAGAACTTAACAGAGCAATCGACTCCTGCCCGGCGCACTCGGCGACCGGCCCGGATGGCATCCCTTATACCTTTATCAAAGCTATAGTCAAAGCAAATACAACTCTAATCCAAGACATGTTCTCCGCTATGCTCCGGCACGGTGTACATCCAGCGGAATGGAAAATAGCTAAGTGTATCCCGATCCCGAAACCCGGTAAAGCAAATTACCATGAAGCAAAAGCCTACCGGCCCATTTCCCTTCTACAATGTTTCAGCAAAATCCTGGAGAAGATAGTGGCCCAGAGACTCTGCACCGCTGGAGAAATCCTAGGCACACTCTCAGCAAACCAATTCGGAGGAAGACCAACCATCTCGGCGATTGATGCCCTCCTGAGAACCTTGACACCAATACAACAAAACCTACTACTAAAAAACAGTACCGGAATCGCCCGGCGAGATAGACCAGCGATCCTAACCAATGACATCCAAGGAGCATTCAATTGTGTCGATCACCTACTCCTCGCGGAAATCATGCACCAACAAAAATTCCCCACCTATCTGACAGAATGGTGTAAGGAATTCAACACCGGCAGAAAACTACAGTTCCAATTCAACCATGAGCTAGAGGAACCACAGCCCTATGATTCCGGAGTGCCGCAAGGTAGCCCCATGTCTCCGGTACTATTCATGATCTACGCCGGAGTAATTCTGGACCCAACTAGCAGCCCAAAAGAGATGGACACAACTTACATTGATGACGATGCGCTAGTGCAAATATCCAAAACACCAGGCTTTATAATCAAGAGAATGGAGGAACGAATGAGAGAGAGACTAATTAAAGCTGAGCCACTCCAAATCAAATACGACCCGGACAAATCCGACCTGATCTTCTTCCGGCCCACCACATCATCCACACAACAACCACGACTTCCAGTCAAAGTGAACAACATCAATATATACCCCAAAGAGAGGCTGAAATACGTAGGAGTCTGGATAGATCCAACCCTCTCCTTCCGGCCCCATATCGAAGCAGCAATCGCAAAAGGCCTAAAAGCCCTCCACCAAATCCGAAACACCGCCCGCCTGCCAGGGATAACAGTCAAGACAGTTCATCACCTAATAATACAGGGCTTCCTTCCAAGCCTGCTCTACGGATCTGAGGCTTGGTGGACTGGCGCAGACCACATCATTAGATCGCTAGAACCACTATACAACGAAGCTGCCCGGATCATCACGGGCCTACCTTGATGGACCAAGAGAGCTAAACTCCTCCGAGAAGCAGGACTACCCCCCCTAGAACACCTCCTAACATATCGCTCAAGAAAGTACGGAACCAGAATACTCTGCACCGAGGCAACCCACCCTAACAATGAATCCCTAATCGAGCTCCTCCCATACAGAGAAGCAAACATCAAAGGGACAGGTCTACACCGAATCGCTTCCCTCTTACTCCCATATCAAACCCCCGGAAATGCGAGAGACAAGTGGAATCAAAACAAACTACTACGCGACCACCTGTTGGAAGAATGGAATACACAACCAATACTGGACTACCATCATCGGGGGGATTTCCGCCCCCCTTCCAAGATTGCGAAACTCACCCTAACGGAAGCGAAAAAAGTTTTTCGAATCCGGTGCCAAACTACCCGAATCGATAAACACGCGGTATATACAGACCCCGAACCATGCCAGTGTGGTATGGAAAACTCAGCGAAACACACACTTATGGAATGCCCAGCGTGGGCTCGAATCCGCGCCCCTCTGATAGAAAAGATCCCCGGAGCGATGACCTGGGAAAACTGGATGTTTACAAACTTGAAAACGGACCTTATCTTACAATTTGCAAAAAACTCTCAACTCTCGAAGTGGTACGAGTCAGCGGAAGCGGAGGCGGACCTAGAAGAGGGGATGGAAGAAAATGATTAGGGACGGATTAGGAAAGGGTGGTTTCCTTTGTATCTTTTTATCTTTGGTTTTACTTCGTTTTGATGGATCCAGCGCCTGAGTTCGCTGAGATATGTTATTTCTCCTTGTCGTTGGGTTGTTTCTGGTTGAGTGTCGTTCCGGAATTTCCTTATTCTTGTTGATGTTTGTTCGTGTTCGCTTTTGTTCGTGTTTGTTTGTTTGTGTTTGATTGTTTTCTTTCCTTTTGTCCTTTTGTTTGGTTCGTGTTTTAGGCGGTCGGGTCGGCGTGCGATAAGTCTTGTACTTCAAAGCAATATAAGTTTCTTCTTCTTCTTCTTCTGTATTCTCCCGGCGCGCTAAGGCTCGCAAAACTTCCTGACAATAAACCTCGCTTCAAAACATTTTATTATTCCTCTTGGTTTACCCTGGTATACCATACCAGGCTGAGCCACTTCGTCCCTGACCGTACGGTCGCGTTTGTTGTTCTAGGCGAAAGAAACCCTACCAAAACTGGGTTCTAGCGAAGAATTCTCCAGCCTTGACCTCCCGAAAGGAAGGAAAAGAAACTTATCCGAAAAATCAATCTACGCCGCCAGAAGAACTGGATACTCAGTCATGTCGCAGCAGGCTTCACTCCAGTCTTTTTTCACCCAGTCTTCCCCACAAGGGACAGCCCCCCCACAGAACAGGAACACCCAGGACCCCGATCCAACCCCATCCGGAGCACAGGAACAGGAATTTTCCTCGACCTTCGCAACAGAATCCGACTATAACGACCCCTACCAACTGAGAATCGAGTACCTCTATCCGAGTACTGTCCCCCACACTACCCACACCCAGACAGACCTAAATTACATCACCTGGGCCATTAGACATGCAACCAGCCGGATCTGCCCTCCCTCCGACAGGATTGAAATCCTCGAAGAGCAATCGATCACACTCCGGAGAACAGTGGAAACAGTGAAACATCAAATCGAGGCACAGACAAACATGATCACCAACATGCATTCGGCGATCCATTCCCTCCTCAACAAACAACCACAACCGCAGCAACCACAACAACAACAACAACCGCAATAAGCGCAACAACCACAACAACCACAGAGACAGAGAAAGGCCCCTCCAGCTGCCCCTCCTGCAGCTCCCCAAACTGTCTTCCAAGCAGCGCCACAGGCAGCTCCTCAAGCACCACCACAAGCCCCATCTCGTGGATGAAAAGCAGGCACCTGGGCAGCCGTGGCAGCTGCCGACCCTGCCCAAGGGAAATTCCAGGTTGTCGAGAAAAGAAAGAAGCCCGCAAAGCCAAAAGCGGACCCCCTCTTTAAACCAGAATATACCAAAATCAACAGAGAAATTATTGTTGAAACCACCGCCCCATCTGACGCCAACCCCTCCGAGATCAGCACCCTTGTCAACGCAAGAATTCAGGACGAATCTTGCCACTTTATCTCAGCAAGAAGAACACCCAAAGACAATTTCATCCTGGAAACAAAATTCATCACCCCGGCAACAAAGGCAATGGAATATACCAAAGAAATCGAAGAGGCCCTCCTCACCCTTCAAGTACCGGTCGTTAATATCCGCGCAAACTCTAAATGGTCAAAGTTCCTTCTCCACGGAATCCCCACAACGATCGGGGAGGGCATCGAGGCAGGACAATTGGTAGCATCTGAAATCAGAAGCAACTATGGAGAGGAATTCCAACTTGCCCAGGTTCCCCGCTGGATCTCCAGAGCAGAGACTCGAATGGAAAAAACCCACTCATCAATGGTCATTGCGCTCCCAGGACAAATCACTACGGAAACACTAGGAGTCAAATTCCTATCCCTCTTCAACCGAAGATGCCATATCGAGGCTTTCCTCCCAACCTTCCCAGACACCCAGTGTGCGAAATGCCTAGAATACGGCCACCGCCAGGAGAAATGCAAAAACAACGGGAAATGCGGCCATTGCGCCGGAGATCACCTCACCAGCTTCCACTCATGCAATGAATGCCAGGGAGGATACAAATGCACCCACACCCCAATCAGATGCCTGAACTGCAAAGGAATCCATAAGGCCTCCGACCCAGCATGCCCCGAAAGAGTCAAACGCCGATTCCTCAACAAAGGAAAGGAAAACGCCCTACCCGCCCAAGACCCACCTGCCGCACCCGCCCAAGAGTTACTGCCAATAATTCAAGTACCAGCTACCGCCCCGGTCGAAGTCGCACCCGTTCCCGAAGACGACCAACACATGACAAATAATGCTTAGGCCCCGAACCACCACGCTCGCACACCAACTTAATTGTGCACGGAGTGAACTAACCACCAAGGCGGCGGTGGAGGAAGCGGAAACAGATTCTAACATATTTTTTCTACTATTACAAGAACCATGGATCTCAACAGAGGGATACCCACCAGAATCAAACCTCTTTTACCTTTTTACAGCCAGCAATACCAATACAAAATGCGCAACATACGTCCGCAAACATTCCAACCTCAAACCAAAACACCACTACACATATGATAACTTCATAGTATCGATTACGGTAGAAATCCAGAACAAGAAAACCCAAATCCTAAACATATACTCCCCAGGCCGAAGTGGCCCCTTCGCCCAAATAGCAAGTACAATCCAAACCCTTGACAATTGCCTAGTAATGGGAGACTTCAACTGCCACCATCAAATGTGGTACGGAGTAAATTCACATGAATACAGAAACAACATTCGAGCAGACCGCGTCAATGGTGCTCGGCTAAAACAATGGATAACGCGACAGAAATTGACCCTCCTGAATGAACCAGGAGTCTACACGCATTTCCCCAGAGACAGAGGGAAAAGGCCCACAATCATCGACCTCACGTTCGTAAAAGGCCCGATACTTGACCACAACCTACGATGGAGCACTGAACCCTACGGAGCGGGCTCAGACCACGGGAGAACCTCTGTCCATCTACACTTGGAAAAACCACCCTTTGTACCAAGACGAATGTGGCGACAAACAGACTGGAAGCTATTGGATAACCACATATCAAACCTTTCCCTCCCCGCAGAGGCATGGGAGACCAAGGAACACACGGAACAAACGGTTGAATTCTTCCTAGAGCTGGTCAAGTCAACAATCAACATAGTTACGCCACTCTCGAAGGAGGGGGTAAGAGCTAACTCCTGGTGGTCAGACAAACTGAAACAAATGAAGGCAAAAGTAAACTCGGCAGGAAGGAAGGCGAGAAATACAAAGAACCCAAACCATGTGGAGGAACACCGGAAGGCATGCAGAGAATGGACAGTCATGATCCGGAAGGCAAAAGCAGACCAGCGGGAAAAGACGATGAACGAAGCGAAAGGTAGTGAGGTCTGGAGAGTCCTTAATGCAGGAAGGAGAAGAGACACAATCATACCAACCATACAAGGTGAAGAAACGTTTGCGGGGAAGTGCCAAGCTCTAAGAGCCCAACTTTTCCCCTCAAAACGGACGCCCCCCGATCATCCCCCCCTAAACATTAGACCCCCCTCTTTTGACCTAAGCAACACTTTCGACATAGTTACCCCTGAAGAACTCAAGAAAGCAATCGACTCCTGCCCAGCGCATTCGGTGACCGGCCCGGATGGCATTCCCTACACCTTTATCAAAGCAATAGTTAAAGCGAACACAACTCTAATCCAAGACATGGTCTCCGCTATGCTTCGGCACGGAGTACATCCAGCGGAATGGAAAATAGCAAAGTGCATCCCGATCCCGAAACCCGGCAAGGCAAACTATCACGAAGCAAAAGCATATCGGCCCATCTCCCTCCTACAATGCTTCAGCAAAATCCTGGAGAAAATAGTGGCTCAAAGACTCTGCATCTCCGGAGAAATCCTATGCACACTCTCAGCGAATCAATTTGGAGGAAGACCAACCATCTCAGCAGTCGACGCCCTCTTAAGAACCCAAACACCAATCCAACAAAACCTATTACTGAAAAACAGCACCGGAGTCGCCCGGCGGGACAGACCAGCGATCCTAACCAACGACATCCAGGGAGCATTTAACTGTGTAGATCACCTACTCCTCGCAGAAATCATGCACCAGCAAAAATTCCCCACCTACCTAACAGAATAGTGCAAGGAATTCAACACCGGCAGAAAACTACAGTTCCAATTCAACCAGGAGCTAGAGGAACCACAGCCCTATGATTCCGGAGTGCCGCAAGGTAGCCCCATGTCCCCGGTACTATTCATGATTTATGCCGGAGTAATCCTGGACCCAACACACAGCCCGAAAGAGATGGACACTACATACATCGATGATGATGCGCTGGTGCAAATATCCAAAACACCAGGCTTCATAATTAAAAGAATGGAGAAACGTATGAGAGAAAGACTAATAAAAGCCGAGCCACTCCAAATTAAATACGATCTGGATAAATCCGACCTGATCTTCTTCCGCCCCACCACATCATCCATACAACAACCACGACTTCCAGTCAAAATCAATAATACCGCTATATACCCCAAAGAGAGGCTGAAATATGTAGGAGTCTGGATAGATCCGACCCTCTCCTTCCGGCCCCATGTCGAAGCAGCGATTGCTAAAGGCCTGAAAGCCCTCCACCAAATCCGAAACACTGCCCGCCTGCCAGGCATAACAGTTAAGACAGTGCACCACCTAATAACACAAGGCTTCCTTCCAAGCCTGCTCTACGGATCCGAGGCTTGGTGGACTGGCGCAGACCACATTATAAGATCCCTCGAACCACTATACAATGAAGCGGCCCGGGTCATCACCGGCCTACCACGATGGACCAAGAGAGCTAAACTCCTCCGAGAAGCAGGCCTACCCCCCCCTAGAACATCTCCTGACATATCGCTCAAGAAAGTACGGAACCAGAATACTCTGCACCGACGCAACCCACCCCAACAATGAATCCCTGATCGAGCTCCTCCCATACAGAGAAGCAAATATCAAAGGAACAGGCCTACACCGAATCGCCTCCCTCTTACTCCCATATCAAACCCCCGGAAATGCGAGAGACAAGTGGAATCAAAATAAACTACTACGCGACCACCTATTGGAAGAATGGAATACACAACCAATACCGAAATATCACCACCGGGGGGAATTCCGCCCCCCTCCCAAGATTGCGAAACTCACCCTTACGGAAGCAAAAAAAGTATTTCGAATCCGGTGCCAAACCACCCGAATCGACAAACACGCAATATATACAGACCCCGAACCATGCCAGTGTGGTATGGAAAACTCAGCGAAACATACACTTATGGAATGCCCAGCATGGGCTCGAATCCGCGCCTCTTTGATAGAGAAGATCCCAGGAGCGATGACCTGGGGAAACTGGATGTTTACAAACCTGAGAACGGATCTTATCCTACAATTTGCAAAAAAATCTCAACTCTCGAAATGGTACGAGTCGGCGGAGGCGGAGGCGGACCTGGAAGAGGGGATGGAAGAAAATGATTAGGGACGGGATTAGGAAGGGCAGTTTTCTCTTACCTTTTAATTTTGGTTTTATTTTTTTTTTTTTTTTTTTTTACTTTGTTTTGATGGATCTAGCGCCCGAGTCCGCTGAGATAAGTTATTTCTCCTTGTCGTTGGGTTTTCTGGTTGAGTGTCGTTCCGGAATCTCCTTATTTTTGCTTGCGTTTGTTTGTGTTTGTTTTGTTTTTGTTTGTTTGTGTTTGTTGTTTTTTTTCCCTTTCTTTTTGTTTTTGTCCGGTTCGTGTTTTAGGCGGTTGGTTCGGCGTGCGATAAGTCTTGTACTTCAAAGCAATATAAGCTTCTTCTTCTTCTTCTGTATTCTACTCCACGAATATTATTCTTGTTCTACGCTACGTCATAGGGTTCAGTTTGGTTATCAGACCCAAACAGAGCCGCCCCATAGTCCATAGTCACGAACATCTTCTACTACGTCTTCGTCTCGGTTGTATTCCTTGGCACTATAGTCCATCATCCATAGACCCACGTTATAGTGAGGTTGAGGTTGCAGTTACCCTACTGCTAAGCCTGTTCCACTTTGTGATTGCTTGGCGCATTTTACAAATTAAAATAACGAATTTCAACCTTGAATAATTTTTAACCAGGTGAGATATCAAAAATCTGGTTGGTAAAATTCTCCTTCATTACTAATACTTCAATTTTACCAACCGGATTTTTCATAATTTGTTTTGTCGGAATGTTATTCAATCTCGACCTCGCCCCAATTTTTTGACTACCTTTATGATTGGATGCACCATAGAAGGAAAAAGATTAAAGTTGCTGAGAAAAGTCGAACTGCATCTATTTTAATCCATGTCATGCTCTTTAAATTCATATACCTGTTGATGGGCCACTTAGGCCCAGCCCAGGCGTTTGTTAAATGGCTGGGCTAGGCTAGGCCGCGGCTTTGATGTGCTAGACAAGGCTGGGCTGGGGTATTTTGCGGGCCAGATGAGCCCATTGGCAGGCCTCCTGTCGATCAAGCTTCAGTATAAGCAAAGCGTGAATGGCGTGGCAGGTGCGGGCGAGAAATGCTATTCTTCAGATGGTTAAGTAGTCGGAAATGAGATAGATGATGTCAGGGGGTAGTGACAATAGCGGGCAAGGTGGTGAGGATGACATATTGGTCGTTAACTTTGAACGGATGATATATCTGGTTCAACGGGGCTCTGAAGTGGATGTTTCTAGTGCCAACGCAACACGATGACTAATCTAATATGTTCTCAAGGGGGCGAGTAGCGAGTATTCCGCAGGGTACGAAGGGTGTAGTAGGGGTCGGTGTGGGAACTCGCAATATGGGTCCGAAGGCACTCTGGCATCGGTAAGGGTCAACGGAACAAGGGGAAGCGAAGCGGTGGTCTTCTTGAGTAAAGAAGAGGAAGATAATATTGTATAGTAATAGACAGCGTAGATACAGAAGACGTTGCGTAATAAAAGAAAGAAAAGAAGAAGAACAAGAAACGAAGACGAAACCTCCTTAATATACCCAAGGAAATCCTAGCGATGACAAATACAAAGTGACTCACACGCTTACAACCCACAGAACTCGATAGAATCAAATAGAACCCTTCTGACTAATCAAACTCCTCGTAACCCAATGTATTCACCAGTCGATCCATGAAATATATACTGGGGTATAGCGAAAAGTGATCAGAATCTGATAAGACAAATACACGTATTCACCGCAACATTCACTTATCAGTTTCTGATCTCTTACCCTCAAAACCCGGTACTGTCATACCCATGTCTCAAAAGTATGTGAGACATTTAGAGGCGGATTGATTGGTTGGTTTGCACTATTTGAGACACTGTTCGAGACATTATCAGGGTTAGGGATTTTGAATAAGCATCACCCATCCTGAGCAGCCAGCGCGACTAAAGGATACATCTAACGGGGACTATGGGCGTAGGGACTATGAAGCCAAGGAATACAACCGAGGCGAAGACGTGGACGTAGGAAGTTCGTGGACTATGGACTATGGGGCCGAAGGGTACACCTAAGGCAAGAACGGAGACTGTGGACTATGGACTATGGATGGTTGTACCTGGTCTAGTATACCGGGTAAACCCTATGACGTAGCGCGAACCAAATAGTATTCGTGACTGTAAAGTACAGAGGTTGCATAAAGAGAAAAGAGAAAGAAAGAGAAACAAGAAATCACGAGACAACGCCCCCCTTATATATCCATACCCTATCCCAATGCTGACTCATACCCTCGCGTAACAGAAACAAATAGAACATAATAGAAACCCACTTCACTAAACCCAACCACACTGCATAATCCTTCTCCCTTGTACCCAGACAACTCACATAGCCAATCCGTCTAGCTGCCGTTACAGACCACTCCCCCCTCTACGGCCTACCTCCTGGTAGGCTTAGGCTTCCGTGGATATCGTTCGTGAAATCGTTTGACAATATCAGGCGAGTGTTCGACATCCGACAATGGCTGCCACGAAGCTTCGTCATAACCGGCATACTTAACCAAGTATTCAAATCTTCCTCGACGATCCCTGGAATCCAAAATATTCTCGACTTCCCACTCCTCCTGTCCTTCAACTTCGACCGGTGGTGGTGGTAACTGTTGTTGTCCTGGTAGGGGATCAATGGCTTCCGGCGACAGTAACGAAACATGAAATACAGGGTGGACCTTCATAGAACGAGGAAGTTCTAATTCATAGGCATAGGGATTGACAATTCGTTTAATAACATATGGCCCAATACGCTTCCAATCGAGTTTCTTCGAGGGTCGTTTGGTAAGGACATGGCGGGTGGATAGGAAAACCTTATCTCCCACACGATAGTGAGGAGCGGGAGCCCGACTGGTATTGGCCGACTCTTCTTGAATCCTTTGCGCTCGGAACAACTCATCTCGTAGAAAATCTAATACCTCCTTCATCTCCCGTGCGATACCATTAGCCTGATCCTCTGCTGTCGTCCTACCATGTTCCAAAGGACCGAACGTCATTCTTGGATTTCGTCCTGAATTGGCAAAGAAAGGAGATATCTTTGTTGTTTCTGAAGTGTGATTGTTGGTCGCAAATTCAGCCATTGGTAACCATCGAGTCCAGTCATCTTGTTGATAGGAAACATAACTCCGAAGGTACTGTTCCATCACGGCATTAATCCTTTCCGTCTGCCCATCCGTCTGAGGGTGGAACGCAGTAGAAAACTTTGGTGATATTTCCAGACGGTCGCAAAGAGACCTCCAGAATTCCGCAACGAATTGTGTCCCTCGATCGGATACCATAGTGTCGGGTAACCCATGTAATTTCCAAACATTGTCAATATACAGTCTCGCTACTTCCCTTGAATCCGCCTCCTTTGTTGTTGGTATTAGGTGTCGCATCTTAGTTAACCTATCCACCACGACCAAGATTGCATTGTATCCATCGCTCTCTGGGAGGTCGGTAACAAAATCCATTGACACATCTGTCCATGGTCCATCGGGTATTGGCATAGGTCGAAGTACCCCATAAGGTGCATTGCGTGGTGCCTTGCTCCGGGCACACACACTGCAATTCCTAACGTACTGGTCGACATATTTTCGCATCTGTGGCCAGTAGTACTCTCGATTCAGGAGTTCCAAAGTCTTCGCTCTACCTGGATGGCCTGCCGATGGTTTGTCATGATGTTCCTTTAGGAGTCTTAGCCGAAGGTCGTCGACATCCGGTACATAGAGTGCGCCACGGTAAAGTAGCCGACCGTTATTATCTTCCGTACATTCGGCAAGCGAGATCTTATTCGAGTGACGGACGCCGTTCCGAAGCATCGCGAGTACTTTGTTCGGGAAACTGTCAACTTGGTAAGCATTTAAAAACAACTCTTCTACAGTGGACATTCCTTCAGCGGATTCATTTGAAAAAGAACCCGCGAACAAACTTAGCTTTGCATCTAAATTTTTTCGCTTCAACACCACTTGACTCTGATGGGTCAACCGCTCATCCCCTTCTTTAGGCAGGTCACGCGACCTCCTAGTCAATGCATCTGGTTTCGCCCCTTGTTTTCCTGGTCTAAATTGAATGACGAAATCGAAACGTGAAAGAAATTCCGACCAACGGGCTTGTCGACGGTTTAATAACTTTGTTGACATGAAATATTCAAGGTTCCGATGGTCGCTCAGAACTTCAATTGGGAATTGTGCCCCCTCTAAATGATGTCGCCATTCCTCAAAACATCGTACGATCGCCAGGAGTTCTTTGTCATAGATCTCATAGTTACATTCCGCAGGGGAATGTTTCTTAGAGAAGAAAGCGACTGGATGTAGAATTCCTTCGTTGTCACGTTGGGACAGGATTCCAGCAGAAACATAGTCGGATGCATCGGTTTCTACCACGATTTTCCGATCCGGATCAAAATGCATTAGTATGGGTGCCGTTATGAACATCTTCTTCAATATCTGGAATGCCTCCTCCCTCTCATCCGTCCATTCAAATTTAATATTTTTCTTGGTCAAAGCCGTAAGCGGAGCAACAATCCTTGAATATCCTAAAATAAACCGTCGATAGAAATTCGCAAATCCCAAAAATACTTGAACATCATGAAGGTTCCTTGGTGTAGACCACTCCAAAACATCGACAACTTTCTTCGGATCCATTCGATTCCCATCCGGGGTGAGAATCAAACCAAGATACTTTGTTTCTTGAACCATAAACTCACACTTCTCAGGTTTAAGATGGACATGATTCTCATCAAGTACCTTCAAAACCTTTTGAATGTGTTCCTTGTGTTCCGATAGAGTTTCGGAATAAATCAGGATATCGTCCAAATACGCCGTTACAAATTGGTCGAGGTAGGGGCGTAGAATATCATTAATCCAATGTTGAAAGGTGGCGGGGGCGTTGGCTAATCCAAACGGCATTACTGTATACTCGAAATGTCCATATCGAGTTCTAAATGCCGTTTTCCATTCGTCTCCCTCCGCTACCCTGATCTGATTGTATCCCCAACGTAGATCCAACTTGGTATAGTACTGTGCCTTCGAAAGT